GATCAGGGCGACGAGCTGAGTCGATTTGGCCCTGTCCGTCTGTCTGTCCGTCCGTATGTGTGAACGCGTCGATCTCAGAAGATATAAGAGCTAGAGACTTGAAATTTTTTTAGGTCCGTATATAGCGCACATATCGAATTTTCCTCCAAAAATCGATAACAAGTCTCGATATTTGACTATTGATTAAAAACCATATCGAAAAATAGTTGTTCAAATTATAGTCTGCAAATTTTAAAAGTAGACTCATATGTATATTATAGAATTTCGGTTTTTATTGTAATTTACCTCCCCATCCCTATATCAACCCCCTTACCTGATTCATAGATTCAAACATACGGACAGACGTACTCTATGGGATCTGCCAGTATACCCTGATTTCAAATTTTCAATGGATTCAGGGTATAACAACGACAGTTTTTGTTCAACAATGTCTGTCTACCTTTTTGCAATATCAGTTTAAGTTTGATTTTTATACTCATTCAAGAAAGTGAACTATTATACTCATTCATTCCGGCTTATCCTTTACTACACTACACAAATCGGATGAAACTGTATATCCAGGATTTTTACAGCTAGAGCGCTGAAATTCTATATATTCTGTAAGGATTAATGAATAAATTATATGTCGGGTACTTAATAGTAACCTCGTTAGGGGCGTGGCATATTAAAAAATACCCTGTAATTTTCTCATTTTTTGTGCGTAAGTAGTTAGGGTACCGTTAGCATGTTCTAGGAACTGACCAAATATGAGGCGTCTGCGTCCAGAAGAGGCGTGGCAAATCGGAAAAAACTGAACTGCCCGTAGCCTCCAACTGCTTGTTGTGTTATGGTTTCGTTCCGATTAAATTGAAAACTTGTGTTTGCTTGTATAAATTTCCCATATATGTAACTCAAACATATCTAAAACACTAATTGATTGACGAAACGATTAAATCACTGCTTCCACTTGCATTGGCATCGAACAAAAATTGCCAACTCGAACGCCTCACGGTTCATCAAACCTTTCTCCATCATCTCTCAAACTTTCGGTGGCATCAAAAATGATTTCTTGTCCGCACTTAAAAAGACAATGTGGAATCGATGATGGTCACCCGAACCCGTACTATGTATATCTTTGGCTTTTTCTCAGTCAGGAGCTTTTCTGATTGGTTTCTGCACAAACTCTTTCCCACTGTTGTTTTTTGTTTTGAGACTTTAGCTGTGGGGTGGCTTATGCTGCGTATGTGCGATATTCGCAAAGCCATTCCACGGCCTGCAGCTATCGCAGTTTTCAAGGTAATTTATTATATTGAATCGCCGTCAAGCACTTCAAAGTTTGCACATGCGGGCTATTTGATCACTCTTCTGTTCCCGTTCCTGCTGCCCTGATTGGCTGCATCCGCCCATGAAAAGCGTGACACGTCCCCCGCTTGGCTTATTACAATTGCACGTTATCACAACACAATTACCTACACAAGCCCCACACAGGGGTCGTAGTCAGGCAACACGTCCCGTCACATCCCGTCTCACGCATTCCGCGCATTCTGCGCATCATACTTGAGTAATGGAATTCGTTTGACGCCATCTACTAAGTAGGAGCCCAACGCCCTCACACATCCACTTGGGAATATGTCGAATTAAATAAATAGCCAATTTAACCACGCTACAAAGATAATGAATCACTCTCACATAAAAATAACGTCTGCTAACTGTTTTGTGTGTATATAACTTTAAACTTTAACTTTAGGGGATATAGTTTTATCCGCAATGGGCGTAGACAGCTGCCATATCTCTTTGAGTTTTTGTTGTCAACTTTTCTGGCACTACAGCTAGCAAATAAAATGAATTTTCTCTTTGCCACACCCCAGGCGGATTGAAAAAATTTGGACACCTTATACTCATTTCATTTCATCGTCAGTGATTATAAAATTATTAGTACTCTTGTTGACGATTTGTCAGACTTGGTTCCTACGCTTCTTATGTAACCAGCAACAGATGCACCATAATTGAATAACCTTTGCTCTAGGAGAAATAATCAGGGCACAAATCTCCAGCTCTTGTGGCGTTCATGTTGTAAATAACTAAGGATTCTATAGTCACAGGGTTTCGAAAAGTTTTAGTGTATTTAATATACCTTTTAAGCTGCTTAAAAAATAGTAGTGCGACTAGATGTTGAATCAAATATGTGGAGACTTCACAACTGAACATCAACATTCAACAAAACTAATATTTATAATATGACTATTGATGATTGTTTTTAGGTCTACATTATCATGAAATAGTGGAGCAATTCCCATAGAAGTGTTTCATTGTATATGGATCTCTCGGCTATACATATAAAAACATAGATTTATACACTACTTAGAAGTAAAATTTGTTATTTGCAAATGCTCAATATTTGCAGTTGAAAGATGAAAAACGCGTAGCCGATGAATTGATTGAAAGATTTGTTTTTTAAAAGAAAAATTCATTTGTTACCTATGTTACTAAGAAATCTATCACTTAACGCTAACCCATCCATATAATATGCCCACACCGATATATTTACATAACCTATTTTTATGCCCTGTACAATGGTTTTGTGAAAGTGTAGAGTATACGAGTATGAGTATTGACTTATATTCTTATATGATATTAATTGCTGCTTTGATTTCCTTTTTAGCATGGCATGAATACCTAAACATAAATGACAAACTTGGGAATATATCTCTTTCTCTCTCCTAGATATTGGCAAACAAGTATTAAAATCTTTTGGTAAGTAGTTTCAATAAGAAAGCTGTGTTGCAGAGTCCAGAGTATTGCCTAGTCTGGCACTCCCGACTGGACCACTCCTGTATATGTATAATGCGTGTAGAATATACTCCCTCGTCAGAAGTTCTGCTCATCGTTAGGACTGGTTATAAATGCGTTGGCATTATTTAATAACAGACGTCTGTCCATAAATCCAGCGTGTGCCCCAAGCGCTTGACGTGCTCGCTGAGCCGGCACGAAGACTTAGTTAGTAAATGGGTGCCGGATCCATGGCGTTTGGTTAATTGTTGCCGCGTGCACTTGACAGACAATTTCGCAAGCAATTTATCTGCTCCGTTAACGCTGGCTCGAGTGCACAGCCAGCACTTTGTTGCCAAACGGCTGGATTATTGGAGTCTATGAGCGACAAATGAATTTTTGAGCACACACAGCTTAGCTGTGGAGCCTAAAAAAGACAACCGCCCATCAAACGGGGTCGATATCATGAATAAGCCATGTGGGAGTGCCAGAAGCTGTGCAACGTCTGTCTGACAGCAATGCATGCAATGCCAGAAGTAGCAGCGTTCCTACCGATGCCAGGTGCGGGGCCACCTCGAGCTGTCAGCTATTAACGAGTGAGCTGCTTTACGGTCAAGTAGCTGAGCGGACAAGCAGCGGCTGACTTAAACAGGGTTTGAACTTGATCTGTCAAGCAATTAAATGCAATGTGTTTGCAGCTAGCCGATTAATTCGATTTCGCTGCAACAAGACTCATAAATTACTGTCGCTACTATGCCAGAGAGCAGGCTTTAATGTATCGTATACGGGCTGGTATCATTCCGAAGATATTTTGATTAGGCGCGCTTATCGATAATCTAATCTAATCAGCATTTGCTATCAGCAATCAATAATTCTCGGTACCTTGCCAAGGGCTGGATTTGGGCTTCAGTTGAGTGGAAAATGCTGTTCATTGAGGTGCTGCTTGGTTTTCTCCTGCTGGCTGCGGGTAAGTAAAGCCACTGCAGGATTGCAACAGACCGATTCTGGCAACAATTTATTTTGCAGTTGATGCAGCTCCAGAATATCTGCTCTACACACGCCGCAATGGAAGCACGCCTGAACGAGTTAAGCCAGAGGTGGAGTCGCTACTGCGCTCTTCCTTCTATGCCCTGGAGCCAATTGTGTGAGTCACCTGAATCTAATCAAGAATCCCATCTGACTGTCCACTCCGCCCACAGAGTCTACATACCTCGCACGTCCGGCGATAGCGCTGTGCACGTGAACCTCGTTGCGGCCCTGCTCGATAGGGAGCCTTGCAACGTCTTCGCTGTGCACCCGGACAAGGAGCACAGCCAGTCAGAGATTGTGGACAGTGTGAGTGGCTTGCTGATCATGCTGCACCGCCAGTTTGATGTTCCGCTAAAGCAGAAGCAGATGGTGGGCTTTGGAGCGGGTGCTCACGTGGCTGGAGCCGTAGCTGATCTCGTGCGGCGCCAGCTTGGCGACCCTTTGCCACACATCACAGCACTCGATCCAGCTTTAGTCATAGACGCACTAGAGCATAGGCTGTCGGCCCAGGACGCCGTGCACGTGGAGGTTATTCACACTAATGGACAGGGACTGGGCACGATGGCGCGATTGGGCGATGTGGACTACTATCCAAATGGTGGACAGCAGCAACCCGGCTGCCATGAGGCGGCAGATCCAGATTCCTGCTCGCACGAGCGAGCCCTCGAGCTGGCTGCCGAGATGTGGTCACCGGTGAACAAGCTGCTTTGCGCCAAGTGCATGTCGGAGGAGCAACTGGATGCCAGAAGCTGCCGCTGGACCCTGCATCGCATGGGCGAAGGCGGAGCAACCAGCGATGCCCCGGGTATTTATTACCTAGAGACGCAAAGCAGCGCCCCTTTTGGAAAAGGCGCCTTCCACATTTCCTTCTTGTAGGGCACATTACAATAAAGAGCACCCCATAGTATAAATGAGTGAACGACTTCCTTGATCATTAATCACTGGCTCCAGGGGCTCTTTTGCCAGCCAACCAGCTCGCACCATCTGTGCCGATGGGTGTCAAGCGCCCAACGCATTCATTACTTCAAAATAAATTTTAGAGCCTCTGGCTCAAAGTTTGATGTACGTGAGGCACATATTGCGTATACGCCCCGTCCGTGTGTATCTCTCAAAAGGTTGTCGGCTTCATCTTTGTTCAAAGTTCGACATCATTTCGAATTTTTCTTCGTAGATAATACATAGATTACTGCTAACAAAGTGAGCCTAATGAGCAGTGTCATACTCCAATGGACGACTTTGAGTTCCATTTAAGCTAAAATTGTTTCGACTCGAGCTGCGAATTTAATGACTTCAAAGTCAACTAATAGACGTCGAATCTATGCTTTAATCTTTCTCTCATCACTTTTTTCACGTTTTTGGTTACATTTACTGTAAGAGAGTAGTATGACTGCATAGCCGGTCGCACCCAAGTTCAATACTTTACTTATTGCTGCGTCATAGCGCATTTTTACGATACATTAAGATGGCATTCCATAGTGCAGCTATGTCCCGAGTTATTTCTTTAAAGGGTCGACTGCTTGGAACAAGCAAGCGGGCGCAACTCGTCTTTTGTCCTTGCCCAGCGAGCAAACGACACGCCCACAGTGTCGGCCCCTGCGTGCGTGTCAGCTGAAAGTCAAACTTAAGCTAAACTCTCACAAATTGCATTTCAATTGCATTGCACATGAGTTTATCTCCATGCGTCTAGATGTCTCAGCCGGCGGAAACGGGCAAAGGGCGAATTGTTCTATGGCTGAGTAAATTTCCAGAAATACCTGACATCATTTAATAAACCCGGAAAACTTTGCGATTACTATGTATTTACGATAGAAAGATAGTAAACTGTTAGTCGTTCGTCACTTCGGACAATAAATAACAATTGTCTTTAAGTAAAGGACGACAGTCGATACTCGATGAGCGATAAGCGACGGTAGATAAGTGAAAGTTGTCAGAGCCTTTTTAGCACGCGTAGGTCATTATTGTTATCGGCTAAGACCCTTTTCAACATGCATTCCAAGTGCTAGAGGCTCAAAAATATGCGTTACTATTAATTTAATGTATATTTTATACAAATGAGTTTTGTGGCTTTTAACACCGGCTTCGAATCCTACTAAATCCTTGAAATCTCAGTTTAGTCGCAAATATACAATTTTTATTTAACTGCGAAACATTCCAACAGAATACATATTATGTACTTAACATTTATTTAGCTTTGCATCATCTAATGGATTTGGATCTCTCATGTATTTCACTCAATCGAGAAAGCGCTCCTGGGACCATTTAACATTATATTGTATGAGAAAATTCAGATTTTAAACAGAAAAATTTATTTATTTGTATTTCAATTAGATATTAGCCTCATTATTATAGCTCAGCTTGAAAATGAAGATTCAGAAGGAGGCTCTGTAGAATATACATACAGTAGAATATGCTCAAGGGACTGTCGCTATAGCCGAAAGACGCTATAACCTTCAGGAACTCTGGTTGACTTTGAAATGCTTCGTTTCAATATTAATTTGATATGCTGAAAGGAAAAAATTAAACCGGAGGCAGAACATATCGAGTTATCAACTGAAATGTTTGGCGCGAAAAGTTTTCCCTAACCGTTAATTGCAATTTTCGTAGTGGTTACTCTCACCGCCCTCAAAGACTTAAAGCTGAAACTGAATCGGGCCCAGCAGGCATTAAAAACACAGTGAGGTGCTCGACTGAGTGTTAGCCGAAGGCTTAACGTCTTTATTTGACTATTTGGCGTCAGTTGGCCTTAAAATCTCTTCGTAAAACAGAAGTATTCCCACTCACAGCACGATGAGCCAAACCTCGTTGCGTGGGCCATTAAATGACTCAGACAACCGACCACCCGCCCCCCTCCTCCCCCCCCCCACACACACACACACACACACACTAACGCGCACACAGAATGTGAATCCCTGGTAATTTCTGTGACTTCGCCCATGGTTTTTTTTTTTTTTTGCTGCACCATAAAATATTACCAGTTTGCACAGACGCACACTCGAACCGCACTGCTTCTTTCGAGGAACGATTCTTCAGCTTTGTGTTTTGTATTGTTAATTAGGGCCGAAACTCAACCTCTGAGTGATAGGAAAAGAAATTTCGGCGACCAATGAAGTCATTTAGCAACCTCTCTGTTAAGTTTCCAGCCCACGGTTGTGATGCCACATCTAATTAAATTCATTCACTTAGCGCAGAAATAAACATAAATATTATTAACTATAGTGAATATTTTCGATGGTATAATATACTTGAATTACTATTTATATACCCTATATATAAGCTAGAGTAGCTTATATACACACATATCTACATAATAAATTCAATTTGCCTATATACACATCTGTTCCTGGGTCTATTTATTATTCCCACAGAGGCAAGAGACTAGAAGGAAATAGGCTTTAAGATGTAACTTTACCTAGTAATTACAGGATGACAATTCTCATCGGAGATTATATTGTATTATAAGGTATTAAGCATATTACCTTTAAAACATTTTAAATAAAATTTCATTATGAATTAATATTGTTTTACATTGAAACAACATAATTTATCTGTAAACAGGCGGCACTTAACAGGTTCTCACACCTGTATTGGTTAGTCGGGTGTGTGCCTTATCGGCCGTTCACGAATTACTTTTATGGTTATGCTAATTCATTGTCAACATTTTTATGGGATGGCACTTAAACAGCCGCCCCGACTATGTACGCACCTGCAGTTCACTTTCTTCAATAAAACTGGGCCACTCTTGTTGCTTTTTGCCGACATATGCTTACTTACAATGGGTGGGCCCAAGGGCAGTGCAACGTTTGTTTACTCGGCTGTTCGAAATGTTGTACATGCACTGGCCAGATGCGACACGCCTCACACTATACACCACATGCCGCGTGCCACAGGCCACAGGCCACAGGCCACAGCAAGAGGGCTTCAGATAGTGTCCGGGCCTGTTTTGCATTTAGCAAGTGATAAGAGGGCCATGTGACTGATTGAAAATCCATCTACATACGGAATTTCATTAAACGTACATGCGACCACGTCACCGCGCGATAACAGGTGCTCCACTAGTGGGTGGCGCAGTTAGAGCTGCGGGCGCTTCAGAAAGCAATTTGCGGGTAATTTGCAGACAATTTTTATGCTGCTCACGCGTGAGCATGCAAAACCTCTTAATCGGCTTAATCTCTTAACCCACATTCTCTAATCAGCATTATTAATTTATAAAGGCATTGGAATTTATTTAAATTTAATGTCTAAGACGTGATAAGGATATGCCAGTAGCTTCTGCCGCTTATCGGGCGCGCCACAAACTTTCCACGCCATCTGTCGGGTGGCTCGCTTTGGCTAACGGCCATTGCCATCCATCATATTCGCAGAGCTCTGATAACAAAAACAACAGCAATCCACAACATAACAGCCCAGCTGCCAATAAATATGTGTGTATCGTGACTGTGGTCAGTGACAGAGACGTCGACGCTGACGCTGACGCCGACGCTTAGGACTTCGCGTCGTAGCGATGACGCTGAATGCAAAACGCACGCTTGCATATTACGAGCAACAGCACAAGCGAAACGGGTCTGACAGCGGCCTCCCTTGCACTGCAGCGCCCACCCACCTCCAGCTAGCACATTCTGTGATCACATTTTAAGGCATGCCGTCAGTCGCATATGCTTATGGCGCTGACGTCGCTGCCCGAGTCACTACAGGCATGCCCCGCCGCCACGCGCCTTTTGCTATTGAGACTGACTCATTTTGGGACTCACGCAAAATTAATTTAAAAAAAAAAAAAAATTTAAATAAATTGCATGAGCTTTGTTTTTGTTGTTCAGCTATGGACTCTGCAGCAGCAGCAGCGGTAACTGTTGACATTGTTATTGTTGCTTTTACGACGCTTATCAATTATTTTCTCGTTGCATGCGAACTTTATGTAAATTAAATGCGAGTGCGGTGTTGTTTCTGCTACGTGCAATTGCATAATTGTCAATGGGAAACTTGGATGGGGGGTTTGGAATGCTCAGAGGACAAGATAACGACAGCTAATTGAGTTTGGTTTTAGCCAATTGGCATACATTTAAAGATTTAGGAAAATTACATATCTCTATATGTACGGTGGTGGTGTGTGGCATATGTGCATATGTATGTGCCAACTCACACACGCGTACACACGCAGCAATACACTCCCGTATACATACATCTTACTAACGGTACTTGAAACGGGCCATAAAACATGACAGCTAAGTTAATTGTAAACTTTTCCTATTAATTTTATGCACATGTCCGCCCACATATTCGCATACGTACTAATACAACATATATATATATATATATATATATACATACGTACATATCTATATTAATGTTTGTTTGCTTGCAGTTATTGTTGCTGTTGTTCTGTTGTTTAACAAATTTTGTCACGTTGTGAAAAAAGCAAAGCAAAGCAACGCGATTTTGACAAAAATTGCACGCACTAAACGTACGCATAAAATTAAAAACTAGATATTCTCATTTTCATTATTATTTGCAGCGAAACACTTTGAAATGGTGCGATAATTTATTGGTGCCACATTTTTACACATCGGGCAGGTAGAGAAAAGATCTGTGCACTGCCACCAATCGTTTTATAAACACATTTTCCATTACACCTCGATCATTGCGCAGACAGCAAATATAAAAGAAAACAGATTGCGCTTTGGCCAATTTACTGACACCTGTTGCCAAAAGAAACGAACCGCCAATATCTGCGACAGATGTTGAGCATACAAAAGGGATTGGAGATATGATCGAATCTTGCAGATGATGGTGAAATTATTTCAATTAATCAAACATGACACGCGCGAACTTATTTTTTTGGGTAAAATTCAAATACATATATAACTGTTTGCAGTTACCCATGAATTGGGGGCTTCGACATCTGCTGCAATTGCGAAACACTTACACGCACTCCACGCAACCGACAATTCCAACCGTCAAATTCACACTGAATAGAGCGGCACATTCTAATGGGACTGTGTGAGCTCTATGGTCACACTCGCAACGGGTAAAGTGATGTAACAATCGAACCGAATTTGTTGATCGATTGTTGATACAAAAAAAAAAAATAATAAAAGTTTTTTTTTTTTTTTGAATTTATTTATTGCGGCTTCTCGTCTTAGATTAAACCATAACCTAAATAATGGGCTAGAAGCCAGTATTTACACTATATACAATTAGATACAATTATTTAAAAAAATTTATTGAGATATGAGGTATAAGGGGTGAAGCCTTTTAAGCCTTCGCCTGCTGTACACAAAAAAAGAAATAAATAAATAAAAAGCAAACTTTTGAAACTAAGTGCTTATTCAAATTATTTTTGTATATATGTTTCAGAATCTTTATTGCCCTCTTTATAATAATCTACTATTCTTGAAATATTTTTAGTATTTTTGGTGCAGTTGACATTCCATGTCTCGATTCCAAATCGATTACATTTTTCAGAAGTCCTCAATATATGTTAAATAAGCCTTGAATTTATTGCGTTGCACTTTATGTTAAACGTTTATGTTTTTTTGTTGAATTATTTGATGTGTTCCCCAATTTAAGAAAACCATTTTCTATCGATTGCGGCTCACGTCGTGCATTGCTACAAGCACGTACACATCACTAGTTAGCATCGATAACGATAGCAGTAGTAGCCTTAGTCATTTACAATTTTCGTGACAAATATAACAAATGTGTTGTTTCCCGACTGTGTGAGTGCGTGCGAAAAGCTAGTGTTAATTATAAATTGCTAACTTTGGTGTGACATATAATCGAAGAGATACGCGCCAATAATAACAGCAAAATGAGCGGCGGCATGGATAAAAGAAAACTGTCGTAAGTACAATTTTACTAAGCCCTTTTCTTCACATTACCAATTTTTTCTGCGCACCCATACATACACACTCAAGTCTGCAGACGGCAGATGCGCAGCGGCAGCTCAGTCGACTTTCAATTGATTTTCCGCACGCCAGCAACAACAACGGCAGCAGCAGTGGCAACAGTAGCTGTACACCGCAGCTGCTGTAACGGCTGCATTAAGTTGCGTTCTTTTTCATTCATTTTGAGGTAAACAAAAGGCAAATCCTTAATTGCCAAAGGGATTGCAGCTGCTGAGCTGTGCGCCTGTGTGTATTGTATATGTATACGCGTGTTAATGTGTGTGTCAGTTGTTCCCAAAAACAGCACAAATGATCCGCTCGTGAGACTAAGAGAATTCAATGAATAAATTAATGTGCACAATGTATTAGCCGCGACTAAAGTTACACAAGCTCTTGAACCCAATGATAACAACAAGTGCTTAGCCTCTCTCTCGCTCTCTCTCTTCTGTGTTATCCATAACAACATAAAGCATTTGAGGGGCTACAAATTATTTGGCGTTTCTGGTCCCTTTCTTAAAACATAGACACAAGCAAGTGCACTATTAAAATAGGCGATGAGTAATGCTAAAGCGTTTGCTTTTGCACAGAGGAGAAGCTCTGTTCTTTAAAGCCTAATAATTTTTTGTTGTACCATACGTCCTTGGCCTTGGCTTGGCTAGGTTGGCATTTCCACCACCCTTTTACTTTGAGCGATGCTGGCCTCTAAGCATCACAATCATAATCAGCACGTGGATTTGCAATTATGCTACGGCAAGGCCATAAACATAAGCAGCCAAGTATTTCAGCTAAACCTTGCCAAAAATGGAGACATAAATCATGAATCGGATAGAGGCGTATGCCGCGTCTTAGCTGGATTTTCTGTAAAGCTGCTCACGCGTCCGACAGCCCGTCTCAACGGCAACTATATATGTGTATAGCGATATATATATTAGAGAATTTGTGATGCCAATATCCAATGAGGGAGCGGTTATATACAAAACAATCGCGTGTTGCACTGCCCTTAACTGTTGCTATTAGAATGCCCAGCGCTTAGTCATCGCTCAGAGTTGCAGGCAGGCTGCGAGTTAGATTAGTTATTTGGTCGCTGGGGATTGAAAACAAACAAACGGCAATAAATATAGCAGTTACTCTGCTGACCGGGCTGTGCTCTGCTTGGTGCAGCAATAACCGAACTCGCTTTTTAATAATCGATTTGTAGAAGTTTGTTGACGTTAAAACTAACATACAATATAATTGTAACTTGCTTCTTTCAGAACATCGGGCGATTCGCTCTATGAAATCTTGGGACTTCCTAAAACAGCAACAGCTGATGATATAAAGAAGACTTATAGAAAACTTGCACTCAAATACCATCCAGATAAAAATCCAGACAACGCTGATGCTGCGGATAAGGTGAAGTGGAAAATGGAAATGTAACAAGACTGAGCTCCTTATTAATGTGTGTTTGCTCTTCACAAACAGTTTAAGGAGGTCAATCGGGCGCACTCGATACTGAGCGATCAGACGAAACGCAATATTTATGACAACTATGGCTCTTTGGGCCTGTATATTGCCGAGCAGTTTGGCGAGGAGAATGTGAATGCCTACTTCGTGGTCACATCTCCGGCTGTGAAGGTAAGTCGAGCGTAATTCAGGTGGATTCCGTAGATCCCGTCTAACGTCTCTGTCTTTCTGTTTTTGTAGACCCTGGTCATTTGCTGCACACTGCTGACAGGATGTTGTTGTTGTTGCTGCTGCTGCTGTTGCTGCAACTTCTGTTGCGGCAAGTTTAAGCCACCGGTGAACGAGTCGCACGATCAGTATTCACATTTGAATGTGAGTGATGTTTGATTTGGTTATTGGTTATTGATAGAGCCCTCCCACATACTAACCATTCCAAAGATGATAATAAACAAAAAGAAAGTCAACAAAAAAACAAGAAAAACAATCGATTTCAATATGAACACCACACAACACTCAGTGAATGCTATCGCAATACATTCGAAACAATTCACACACACAAACACATACACAGAGCTTTTTTACGTATATTTATTTGCGACACAACACTTTTCCCGAATGTATTTCAATCCCACACTGAACAATTTTTGATGATTTTTGTGAGGCGATTGTTTAGTCAAATGTAGTTTTATTCCTTTACAAAAATGTAACTAGAACTCCTGCAATTTTGCCAGTATTTCGCTAATGAAATTTCGCTATGATTTGCTTGAATTGGTGCATTTAACGAGCTTTTTATCATTTTAAATTTGAACTTCATTTGAACTCTAATAACTATCTCATATTTTATTTACGTTGAGGTAAGTAAGTATGTAGCTTAAGTTCTCTGCAAAAGGCGAAGGTATATACGACACCATTTACAACACCCCCACAACTGTTTTCATCATCATTTTCATCGTTTTTCTCCCCATTCCTCTTTATTATTTGTTTTGCTTTGAATGCGGATTCCACGAAAATCATCAAATGCTTTGAAGGTTCTACTAATACATAAATAAGCACTCGAATGTCAAGTCAATGATAAATGAAAGTTAAGCCAACACAATTTATAGTTTAAAGGCAAATGAGGGAATGAATTTGTTATTCTATTATTTTCGAGCTAACAAACGATATTCGCCTCTCTGTTTTCTTCTAAAGTCACCTTTGTCTACATAATGAGATTGATTGCGCTTGTTTTTTTGTCTATATATATACACCATGTAAACATGTATGTATTTGTATATACATCATGTAAACATGTATGTATATGTATATGTTTGAATTCGATTTTCTTTTGTATGTACTTATGTGTAAAATTGCATGTATGTGAAGGCAGTAAGGAATACAACAAATTTACATTTCTAATTTTGTTTATTTTTTCTCAAAACCACCTTTCGATCGACTCATCATACCCACCTACAACCTCACACACAATTGCGCCTGCGCGCGGCTCATATTAAATTTATATCGCAAATATATATGCACATCTACTACATATGTCCGACTTGATCTGAACGGTTTCGCTCGATTCGTGCATATGTATGTGATACGTTTTGCCATATATAATCAACCCAGCGCTCTGATGGCAATCGAGAAGCCAGCGATCTGCCACCGCACTTGGGACAGCAGCCTCGTCTTGTAAGTATAGAAATAGAAAACGACTCCGGCATGAGTTCAGCATGATGTAAGGCATAAATATATATAGTCACGATGTAACTATCCACGCGTATCAAACTAACCCGAACATCATAACAACCAAAATTTAGAAGTTCTATACAATTTAAATCGAGTCCCTAATCAGTTGAAACAAGAGATGATTTGGCTTGGTCCTCCTCTGGGTAAATGAACTCTCATAAACTAATTCGTATCTACTAGAAGTTGTACTATGTAATCTCGTAATCACATAATAAGTAATATGTAATATGTAGATTTTGTTTTTGTTTTTGGGTTTGTTTGCGACATTTTAGTTTGCTATGGCTGAAAAATCATTGTAAAATATTTGTTTTTAAATGGCATAACGCTTCCTATACTAACTAGAAAACTCATTGACTAAACAATGCAGACGAAGTATATAGCTCTACAGACCCTTTGCCATAATTAGGTGAACAAAATCTAACCGGAATTTATTTTTGATCTTTGCCCATACAGGAGGACGTTGATCTCGACGATGTCAACCTGGGTGCTGGAGGCGCACCTGTTACAACACAGCCCAGGGAGCAGGCAGGTGGGCAACCCGTCTTTGCCATGCCGCCGCCAACCAGCGCTGGAGTTGGTGTCAACCCCTTCACCGGAGCTCCCGTGGCAGCAAACGAAAATACATCGCTGAACACAACAGAACAGACCACATACACACCAGGTATATAAACAAGTTGGGTCAGTTAAGGAAGCGAGAATGTTGTTCTTCACCTGAATTATAAAATACACATTCAAGATCTAGCAGCAGTGCAATAACAATCTTGACTTTAACAAAGCGTCTTTGACCATCGAACTTGTTGTTAATTCTGCATAAATACTTGAAATACGAAATCCCAAATATTGTGAACCACAGCAACCTTTTCAATGATTATACATATATATATGTATGTATATATATAAGGATAGTGTCATCCAGAATTCATTCTTAGTAACTTATTGTGCAGCCTCCAACGCTTTTTGGGAGCCGAGTAATACACACAATATTTAGTAAAAAATATTTAAACAAGTATAAACAATTAATACCCATATAAGCTGTCATACACACACACACACAAGCATGCGTTCTTATAGCATAACACATGTAGTACAGCTATAGGGCCTGAGCGTATACTTTTCGACACTCATTTTCACCCGAGGGGAGTAGGCATACGTGGGTCTGTATATACTTAAACCTATAAATAAATGTAATGTGTGTATATTATGTATGTATGCCAATGATCTCCCTTTATGATTTCGCTACCTTTTGATTTCTATGACCACTTTTCGTTTTTACCACTCATCATAAGGAAAACCAGAAATCGTCCATTTAGCAGAACAAAAACTATTGTCGAGCGATGCTCAAGCACTGCCCAGGAGCTATACTCGTGTATGCATCGCACCCTTAGGATGCCCTTAAATGGCGTTCGAATCTACTCAAATTTGCATGTTGCTTAAATGCCAGTTCACTGAAAATCTTTTTAAACTACATCATACTGTAAATACAGCAAATTGTATTTTATTTTATTCGGAATGAAACTATTTATTTATCTTTATCGTACAATCATCTGGCCAAGAGCTGCTCAATAACTGGTCATCACACTGCCAACTTGCACTTTAAGATTTGTTTGGTAATTGGTTTTAGTATAAGCATATTGATTATATTCTTATTTTATTTTGTCGTTTACTTCATGAAACTTTGTTTTTCTCTCTTTCTCTTTCTTTGCATCTAGATATGGTTAAGCAAAAATATTAGGTTCATGCGTCAAGTGAGAGTACCCGATTCATGAGAGCGTTTTGAACAGCCATACATTTTTTATTCCTTTTAATTGTTATAAATTTGGTATGTTCAATAAATCCGAAACAGATATATATATATATATATATATATATATATATATATATA